TGTCCATATATATATATATATATCGAAGCTGCATCAGGAACTGGAAAAGCTTACGGAGGGCATCGACTTCCTCATCTTCCCGGCCGAGCTCAATGCAGCCGAGCGGAAGCATGCACATGAGGCTTGGCGGTTTCGTGCTTCGCGGCTGGGTATTGCCTACCATTATTCTATTACTAGTATGTATTCTTATCATTTTAGGGACATTACTATTACCATCACCATTGTTATTATTATCACTACTATTATTGTTGCTTTCGTATTATTACTATCACTGCGATTCTTATTGTTATGGAGCCGAGCAGCAGAGCAGAACTTGGCGAGTGCGCTTCGTGGCAAGCCAGATGGGCCATAGTTTAAACTCCTTGAAGGTGGTTATATAGGGATTATGCAACCCCCTGATTTCGAGTTTGTGGTTTAGGGGAGTATGTAGGGGAGTAATATAGGGCGTATAAAGGGGGATACTAGGAGTTTAGATTATAGCTCAAATGTAAACCCGAACTCCTGGGAAGAGGAACCCTCAAGACAAATCTCCAAACATGGGGCTGCCAAGAGGGGGCTTAGCATTAGGCACATCTGGTAGTTTCGAGACTTTAACTTTAGCAGAAAAGCAGATAGCCTTGAAACCGTTAACATACGCCGGCTTGCTGGTAGGCTGTGTGGAGCTTGCATCCCACACTTGGCAGGTGGTGAAGTCCCAGAAGCTCATGTCCGTCTCGACTGGATCAGGCCGCCAGCCTAGGGTATCAGGTGCACTGTGCTACGTAGAGCAGAATAGAGTCTAGAAGCATCAGAGGAGGCGGGTTTGGGCTTGGTTTACGCATCACTTTCCACATGCCATGCAAACTTGCATGCTTCAAGTCGCTAGCCCATAGCGGACGGACAAGCCTGTAGCGATGTTTAGCCAATGTAGGTGAGACCCTTGGAGCAAGACTGGTAGCTTCGATTTCTCTGCGCATTGAATCAGGAGAGGTGCGGCAGTTGCAAGTCTTCCGTCCTGGGACCAAGAAGGCTGGGCGATGGCAGTCCAGGAGCATTGTCTTGTCCCTGGTTATTATTACTTTCAATACTAATATTTTTAGGTTTGCTATATGATTGTTATGTTCGCATGCAAGGTCCGGGCAGATGCGCACCTGCTCATCCAGCGTGAGGCGCCTGGGTAAGATGCGCCGGTTCAGCCCTCTAGGGTTTAGGGTCTACTGTATAGGGTTCATAGGGTTTGTAGGGTTTGTAGGGTTCGTAGGGTTTGTAGGGTTTATAATAGGGTTTATAGTGTTTGGGGTTTATAGGGTTTAGGGTTTAAGCTTTAGGGTTTGGAGCCTGCTGAGTTCTTTAGGCTCTGTTTGGGTCTCCTACTTAGATGACTTAGATGTAGCTTGCAGCCTACAATTCTAGGCGGCTTCTCAATAAAGATGCTGGTTCAAGCATGGAATAGCAATGGCAGGAATAGTAATAATAGAAAGGATACTAACGATAGTTGTAGAAGTAATGATAGTATTATGGGTCACTGAAGGGCCTTCCAGGAGCAGCTGAGCCGCAAACTGTCATCTCTGCTGCGCCACAGTGCCGAGCAGCGCGGGATAGGCCAGATGTGCAATTGAAGGATTTCTTTGAAGCTGTTATACTAGGTTTAGGGTTTAGGTTTTGCAGGTTATATGAGAAGAGGATATATTCCGAGAAGGTACCGTGTTCAATGATAAAGGGGTTTCGCAAAAACTAGGGATACCTTTTTTGGGAGTCCAATAGTCAGGATTGCCGTATTTCAGGTTCTATAGTGGTGTCCTCTATCCTACTGAGTGCGAGAAATTCTAAGGTTCTGCTTACAGGTGCTGCCACTCCTGAAACTCATGCTATAAAAGCTGTTTGAAGCGATTCTCCTGGCCCTTCCTGACAGGCATGCTGCAGGACGGGTATGCGCCCCTCTCCACGGTGCTCGGGCTTCGGGAGTTCTCCCGCTTCAAACACACCGCCGAGGAGGTGGAAGAGCTGGTGGAAAAGGATGCCAAGAAGCGCTTCGAACTCACCAGAGACTGGGTGGCTGTTCAGGAACTTAATTTAGGTTGCCACACTATACGCACACAGTAAAGTAGTAAATGATAGGGCTTCCTCATTATGATTGCTGAACAGCAGCCCAGGAAAGGCTGGAGAGATGTGGATTCGAGCAACCCAGGGGCACACGATGCGCTCTGTTAAAGACGACGCTCTTCTAAGGCCTTTGGGCATCCAGGAGGCTGCTGAAGTGGAGAGCTGCGTCCATGGCACTTACTTGCTGGTTTGGGAGGAGATCCTTCGCAGCGGCGGCTTGTGCAGAATGGCCCGGAACCACATCCACTTTACCACCTGCACAACAAGGAATGCGGAGGTCAGTGGCATGCGCAGTGATTGTGAGGTTGTGATCTACATCTCCCTCACTCGGGCCATTGCTGCAGGCCTTCACTTCTTTCGGAGCACCAACGGTGTCGTGCTGACACCGGGCGACGAACGGGGCATGGTCTCAATCAAACACTTCGAAAAGGTCATCGCCCTTCGGGATGGATCCATTCTTTGGCCAGATGTACAGGGAGCAAGCACAACTGCAACTTCTTCTTTGGCCCATGATGGTGCAACAGCCACTCCTCCCATCAAAGTAAACCTTTCCTGTCAGAACACGGACGCTGAGGAGGAGGATGAGGAGGTCGTTTGTTTCAGCAAGCCTTTGCTGCATATGTACATATAACCTTGTTGCACGCGTTCCACGGCCCACAAGTCGCGCCGGCGCCGAGCTTGGCAGCTTACTTAAGTTCGAAAGGGCAACCAGGCATTTCCCCGGCTGTTCCGATCTTTTTTGGACCTGCTTGCTACCTACCTGGCTCAAGGATTAAACCTGATATGCTAACATTCGCAAGCCTATGCGTCTTGAAAGAGGCCCATCCCAGAGACTAAGCGTATTTCCTAGTGAGATGTGAAGGGCATCGAGACTCTACATTTTGAATGGCCCACCCTCGCCAGTTACAGACCCTGACCAGGATCTTTCCAGAAGATCTGAGAGAGAGAGAGATGGGCCCTGTATGGGCCTGTGGGGGTAGTAGTACCCCCTTTCACCCTTAAGGAAAGAAAGAAGAGAGAGAAAGCGTGAGGGCTAGCAGACGCTGCCAAGGTATTGGCTGGTAGCCGCGTGAAGCAGATCATTGACTCCGTCAGCTGCATGGCGGCCTTTAGAGTGCACCTTGTGTTATGCTGCAAACCCGCCAATAATAGCACATACATGGGGGGGCTCCTTTCCCTTGCTCAGCCTCGGAAGTCCAATAGTTCCGTCTTGGCCTGTGCCAGTTTCTAGTTCAGAAACAGGATTTGCGGTATGCGCGTCCCTTGTTAATACTCGCAGTTGAGGTCCCGGAAAGCTGCCGTGCAATACTCGTAGAGTAAGGGTGACGATTGCTTGAGTAGGCTGAGCACACTTCAAGCGCTGCTTTGTGTGGATCCTTCCCCCCTTTTTGCAATAATTTGCCATAGCAGTCAGAATGCAGCTGATGCGGCAGGCTTTACACTAAGACGTATGACAATTTAGCAATGTGCAACAATCAGCAAATGTGCGTTGTATCAGAGCCATCCACTTGAGGCTTGCTACTGGACGTGGAATCTTCCTCTCTTCTGGAAGCCTGCATGGAGCTTCTGGAGACTGTTGTGCAGTCCATCGACGAGGGCGTGCCATGGATGGCAATGGGTTCAGGTGTTCAGGGCCTGGGGCAAGAGTGATCATATAGTAGCTTCTATTTTCTTTTTCATTATCCCCAATGTAACCCGGATAATTTCCCTATTGTGATATAGTAGTCTCCATTTTCTTTTCCATTATCCCAATGTAACCCTAATATATCCCTCATTGTAATATAGTAGTTTCCATATTCTTTTCCATTATCCCGATATAACCCTAATATATCCCCTATTGTAATATAATAGTTTCCATATTCTTTTCCATTACCCCTATATAATGACTTTTGTGGAGCACATGAGCTAATAGCAAGGAGATGAGCCTGGACCATGAGGGACAGAAAATAATTTAGGGTTTGGGGTTTAGGGTTTAGGGTTCAGGGTTTATGCAAAAAAAGGGGTTTAGGGTACACCAGTTGTAGTGCTCTGCTGCGGCAAACATCCGGTGATTGCTTCTCAGCACACTTGAGCCTTCTACATTCTTTGCATGTGAACATGATTCGTAAACACTTTAGCATTCCAGCTTGGAGAATTAAAGACTGGCTGCCAAAAACATGGATTTGCTTATTGTTGCGCTGATTGCTATCTTGAGGGCTTGTGGGGGTGTAGACGTAGACCTTAAAAGGCATATATAGAGTCATAGAGTTACCTACGCTCGTGAGATGATCAGTGCTCAAGGGCGGGCCTACCAAGAAGAATGCAGTCTTGCCTGCGCAAGAAGATGCACACAAGAAATTCCAGTCTTTCCGGCTTTGAAGTTTGAGCCACTTCAGCTTCTACTTGGGAATTCATAGGTGAGCTTATACATTGTACCCAGCCATTATCATACCTTGGTCTTGCAGTCTGCAACTTCTGGTCTTACCAAGGCCGCAACCCTTCAGCTCCCCTTCTAATCCCCTTGGAATTCCAAAGCCAAGGCGCTGCTCGGTGCTGGCGAGAGCCTTGAGCGCCTGATCCCCCGACTTTGTGGCTCTTGCGCCGCAACAAGTACGTGTCACTATTGAGGGAGGAAATCTTGCACCAATTGGGGCGCCTAAGCTACTGTAAACCTCAGGCTTTGGCGGACTTGGGATGGTGGAGGATTTCCTCCATCCACGTAGTTTCTTCAAAAAATTGCCCTAGCAACTTGTAAGGGAACATAGAGGTCTCCTGTAAATCTTTACATGTCAAGTTTTCCAAGAGTACCCCCTGATTTGAGGGGTCCTTTTTCGAGGATTCAGCCGGCAGTGCTTGGCAGCTTTCCACTTCATGGCATACAAGGTGGAAGGACGTAACGTCAACTCACAGCATATTCTTACTGCTGGTGAGTGGGTAATGAAGGAATATCATCCGAATATAATCCCTGCATAATAGATTCCCTTAGTTCCTACTATAACCCTAGCAGTTTCCATTTTGTTTTCGATTATCCCTATATAACCCCAATATGATATGTATATATATATATGTATGCCCCCAATAAGTAATGGAAGTGGCAACTAACTTGCACAATTTTGTGCTGATAGGCTTTCAGGAGGCTAATCTGTTTGGCCTGCCCCTGCCTGCGATGAAGGGTGTAAGTTCAGCTTCTGCACCGAAAAAGATGTTGGAACCACATCCGCTTGGCAAGAATCTTACATGTCTGGGCAAACTGTACTGACTTCGCCCCAAGTTATGGCTTGGATACTTTAGTTTTAGTTGATATAAAACTATAACAACATGGCCAGCCCTTTCTGAATGCTACTCATGAACCCCGGGAAAGGGGGGAAGCAGAATGTGGGCAGGTTTAGAGAAGGGGAAGGACATCCTTGGAGGACTCTTGGATGCACACCTGCCATCAGCTCAAGTTGCCACAGCCTCTGAAGTTTCAGGGCTCTGGGTTTCATGGTTGGGTTTAGGGTTCAGGGTTGAGGGCTATAGGAACTTGACTGCGCCCAGGGCATGACTGCTGCGAGCAGAGTACGATAGCTCGCAATCTCCATCAGCGGGTAGGGATTGCAGGCATAGATACAGTGAGAATGATAAAGTTAGGCAAGCCATCAACCACCAACGCTTGAAGCAGGAGCCATGTAGTTCATACTCAAAAGGCTTTGCCATGATCTAGTAATGTAGACCGATGATTAATAAACCCCCTCCTTTTAAGGGCCATATTCTTAGGATCCAAATTATAGTCCCTATTCAGGAGGGGGGGTTAATTAATGAGGGTCTACATTATAGCCCTAAACCCTAAATAGTAGTTTCCATTTTCTTTTCCATTATCCCAATATAACCCCAATATAACCCCAATATGACCAATGTAGCCATGTACATGAGAAGTGCAGCCTTTGTCAACTTGCAGGTATGATGCCCCTGCTGCAGTGGTGGCCTCGCTATACTGCGCTGGTACCTTGATTGATTTCGAAGATTGGGTTCAGTTTAGGGTTTAGGGTTAGGGTTTAGGGTTTAGGGTTGAGAATTCGCGGCAATGTGCCCTGTTTTTGGAAGCCTATAGGTTTGTAACTATCCTACAGGGGTTGTGTCAGAGGCAAAACCCATTCTCAAGACCCCTTCTAATTCCACACATATCCCTGGGGTCCCTCAGGCCTCTAAACCCCAAACCTTAATCCCAAAACCCTTTTTGAGAAGCGCCCTGCAACCTGGCCAGCTCTCCCTGGACTTCAAGCGAGACTGGCTTCTGGAGCAGTTGCAGCCAACCAGTGAGGAGCCTTGAGGGGGTGTTAAGGCTGCACAGGGTTACAGAATGATCCTTCAAACTAATTGCAGGAAAGCACCCTGATCCCTCAGCATAGTCTTCAGCTGGATAAGAGCTGCAGAATTTCATGAAGATCTTCTGTCCTGTCTAAGTAGTTATGCCATACTTCTGTAATATTAAGCTATAATTTCAAGAATGCTCGCTGCAACGCCGATCGCAAGACTCCCAACCCTCGCCAACTTGAGGGGGCATAGGTTCACAATGGGGCTACTTGGGGTTCCGTTATGGGTTAAAGGGGGTTATAAGTATACTTACTAAGTCTTCCTGACTCTCTAAGTAGCCCGGTTACTCCGCAAAAATCCACGTAGGACCGTCCAGAAATCCCCAGAACACATCCGCCTCTCGCGGGCTCCTGCAAAATCTCTGAAATGGCCCTACGTGATTCTTGCTTGAGTTCCTGTGCCAGAAAATCTTGCTGGTTCCCTAAATAATATATCCGTTTTCCCTATGAACAACTAGTAAGAAATTGAGTTCTCGCCTCCACCTCCAGGAGCCTCCAGCACCTGTGCGACTGGAAGTGCAGCGGGAACAGCTGTTGGCAACCTGGACTAGACGCGGGTTACTACTCTTGACATGCGGCAGGGTTAGGAAAATGTGATGTTGCATAGCATCTTGTGGTCCCATTAAAAGTCATAGTTTAGTTGAAGGATTGATACAAAATCCACTTGGCTATGCTGTTCCTATTCCACCACGTTTGCTGTTCGAAGTGTTTCTAAAGCTTGTGCCATTCTCATTTTCAGAAGCGGTGTTACTTGATGTAGTGGTCTCTTTTCTCCGTAACGCCCCAAGATCATCCCAAAATCGTGCGTAACTACTGTGCAGATATGTTTCTTAAAAGCCGGTCCGCGGAAACTGGAATGAGCACTGGCTCAAACGTAAGGAGAGTCTTTGTACCGGGCTGAGACAATATTCTGCTGCCCTTTGCTACGGTATTGATGTGACTCTTGGCTGCAGCTGCTTTGTCTGCCCGCATGTCAACACAACACTTCAACCTGACCTCAACATGCGACGCATGTGCTCCACGCAGGTGTGATGTTGGCCTTGCTAGTCAGACATGGCGTTGCTAGTCAGACATGCAGGCTTGTGACACATGTCAGGAGCTTTACCGATGAGGATGACAAAGATGACGACAGGGATGGTGACAAAGATTGCGACAAAGATTGTGACAAGGATGACGAGAATCAGGACGACGACGAGGAAATGTGGGAGGAGAGGGAAGATTTCAACCAGAGGGACGAAGCCAACCAGCGCTACGAAAGCGACCAGCGCGACGAAGGCAACCAGCGGGAAGAAGGCAACCAGCGCGAAGAGGGCAACCAGCGCCAGGAGTTCTTTCGCCGCTACCTCAGTTTCGAGAATCGTGGCAGAGGGTGGTCCGCTCATGCAACTCCGTACAGATCAGATACAAGCAAAGAGCTTTTTGAATGAAACTGGAAAGAAGGGGTGACTTCATGGCATCCCCGCCCAAAGCCTTGCTTGCTTGTGGTGTACGCAGCTAAAATGCTTTATTTCCTCAAAGCTACCGTTTCAAACGACATCTTCAACGACATACCATGTCGAGTATCCATGGAGAGCCTGACTTGAAGGCAACCCCCTTTAGTCTTAGTCCCATCACATTGAAAAGCCAAAATGCAGATGCAGTTTCTCAGGTCTTGCTGCCGCCGAGTTCATGAGACCAGAGCTGGGGCTCTTTGTCTCCAAGGACGGATTCTCGGCTCAGCCATGCTCAGGCAGTGCTATGTCTTGGGAGTGGTGTTCGGAAGTGGCGGTTTAGTCAATTTGAAGACGCCTAAGTGTCGGTTACTTTAGAGATCATGATTGTATGGATTACGGCCACAATGGACAAATCCTAGTTGATTGCCATCCGTATGTGTATGGTACTCATGACGCAGTTGCGAACAACAGTCTTAAAGAGGTTTTCGTCCGAAAGAGATTGGAGCTCGGCTCACCCATTACTGCCAATATGTTCGTAAAGCGGGTGCTGCGCCAGCCGAGCAAGATTTATCCGCAAGCCGCGGCCACGTGGGGAAGAGCATGCGAAAGGAGTGGAGGAAATCAAGGAATACCCAGAATAACGACAAGAATTCCAAGAACACTACTAGCTTTTTTGCTAACAACAGCAGCAGCAGCAGCAGCAGCAACAACCACAACGACAAAGACAGCGACAATAATGATGTGTGTTCCAAGACCCTTCTGGTACCCTTCTTTGGGGACATATCGTCTGGCCCGTAACAGTGGGCACTCAGGCCCAAATAGAGGGTAGGTGGAGGGTCGAGCTTTTTGCATGTGAAACCAGACGTTGCATTGGAGACTACCAACCACATACCTGGTTGTCCTGGTGGATTCAGCACTCGCCGACAATAAACGCGCTACAAGAAAGGCTACTATTTTTCGAAGACTTTCTCACTCATAATATTTCACAATTTTATTTACAATGGCTATAATAGGAATCATGGCAACGCTTCTGGCAGCCTGGGACCGGGAGCAGCACATCTTGAACGCCTTCTCATCCTGTCGCAGCTGTGATGTGGTACCCCTTTCCATCCCTCTTTGCAGATGGACCCTGGCCTCCTACAGTGGTCCTTCAACCCAGCAGCAGCAGCGCAAGTTATTCAGACCCGGGCGCCACTGCTTTGCAGTTGCCTGTTGCTGGCTGAAACGGAGGAAAAGTGAAGCAGTGTGGCAGCAGACTCTTGCAGGAAAATCTGTAAGCCTTTGCTTCGTATGGGAAGCTTTGAGAAACGCCCCAGCCAGCCAAGGAGGGCGCTCCTTCCACGTGAACGCCCAGGCCCAGCAAGAGCAGCTGCCCCAATTCGAGCTCTGCGCCTCGTTCGAATGGCTCATTTGCTGAGTAGAGCTAGTACTGCACCAGGTGTGAGAGCAGCCAGCCCACCTTTCCGTCACAATCTGACAAACCTTGCCCTGGCAGAGCTTATTGCGCATGTCAAAGGTGGCAAGCTCATCGGCCTTGCCTTGCTCCTGGCTTGCAGATGGACCACGCCTTGCGTATGCATAAGCAGCGCTACTTCATAAGGCTCAGGCACGTGCAAGGACTATGCCACCTGCCCGACCTCTCCGAGAAAGTAGTCTTGTCAACTTGTCGCGCGGGCACCATCAGACCCACATGAAGACCTTTACTCTACTAGCAGCAACGACCCAGGCTTCATGGTGAGACGGTGCCATCCATGCGCCTTGGCCCAGCGCTGCGCAAGGTTCTCCTGGGTAGTGCTTCTTGGCGATACTGGCCACCGGTGCTACTTTGGAGTCCAAAGCAGGGATGCGTTTGGTGTGTCCAGTCTTTTGTAGTCTTTGCCAGACAGCGTGCAGGGAACGAAGAGCTTTATCGTACCTCACCCTCATGACGCAGTTGCGTCCTTGGCGCACTGTATCAAAGAGCGGGCTGGAGACTAGACTTTCGCAGCGTTCGATTTGAGATGGTCTTTAGCATGCTTTCTATGTGATGTCATCGGCTCCTTAAAAAGAAATGCTGTGGCAGCTATAATACCAAGGCTCAGCTGGGCATGGAGGCCAGGCACTTATTGCAGATGTAGCGGCTGAAAATGTCCTGAAAGGCATGATGCGATCTAAACGTGCCCGGTAAGGACATGGCCGTAGTGGATCCGGAGTTCTACAAGAATCATGTTCCGACCTCAGAAGTTTGTCAGGGACCTGTGACGCTGCAAAGCTAGCAGAACTTACTTTGCCATGGGATATGGCGTCCATCTTCTTAATTGGATTTCGGACTACTGTATTTAGGTGCCTTCTGAGAGTTTATCTGGGGAGAGAATTTTTGCTTCAGGCAACTATACTCATTATGCCAAGGTGCTCTACATCCTAAACGGGCACTACAAGCAGGCCCATCACCAGTATTCGGCACGTGCTCATGACTTTGATGGCTGATGGCTTTTGTCAGCATGATGCCTACCACCATTTTACGAGACGTGCTGCGCAACGGATCAGCCTTGCAATAGCTTGCGCAGGGTGAACAACCGGCGGAGCTTGCAGACCTAGGCTTGACGTTCACAGATGAAGCTGGCTCCGCATAGCTTGAATGAGCATCCGGTTTTAAATTGTTTTGCCAATGTTAGGGAGTTCTCATGTGAGAGCACGGGGGAAGTGGCTAGTTGGGATTGTTTGAATTAGTTTGGTTGGCCCCTTTGTGGTGGCAGAAGTCAAGGCTGTGATTGCTTGAAGCTGGTATGATGTTCGACATGATGGATGGAAGAGCCATGAGTGAGAGAACAGACTTGATTGTTTCCAGCTTGCGCATCAGTTTGACTGTGTCACGAGGGCCCCACAAGCTACTTCTGTGCATGCGTGGAGTCAAAGGCATCACGGGCATGAACAAGATTGCCCATTGTGGCTGAGAGGAGCAAACTACGCAAAGTGCTGTAGTGACTCTAGTGTTGAGCTGCCCTGCAGGCGACCTCCCGGGACAACTAATGCGCATGCAAGTTGAAGATTTATAAGGCTTCTCATGAGTAGGATCCATCCCAAAGCCAACAGACTTCCCCGCTTCCTCAAAGCAGAGACACCAAAACCTCCTTCAGTTGACATACATTGCACCCCCAAAGCCCAGGAAGTCGTGCCGGGCGTTAAGCAGGAGCTCTGCCTCGAAGGTGCAGGGCGCAGGGTGACCGAGGAGAACAAGCGGCAATACCTGGCTGCTCGGATGGCCTGTGAGATCGCCGCCGCCACCGCCACCGCCACCGCCACCGCCACCGCCACCGCCACCACCACCACCACCACCACCACCACCACCACCATCATGAGTTGCCAATTTATTTTCTAGCGCAAGTGCCGGCCAAACTTTCAACGAAATGAAAGGAAAAGAAGCAAGGGTCAACGTGTGTCCTGAGAAAAGGGGGTGGGAACTACTCCCTTGTTAGGGACCTTAGATCTAGACGCCCCCGGCCTCAGATTTATTTGCATGATATGTTGGACCAGCATTGGCAGGACTGCTTTATGTTGTGAAAGATTTGATGAACCACACCTGGGTCGCAAGGCTGATCATTAAGGGTGGCTGTCAGGATGAGCAGGAGATGCTATGGTCCCAAGGGATCATTGGTTATGTTGGGTTTGTATAGAAATATTCATGGGATACTATTGGGACCAAATGGAAAATGGAAAATGACACGGAAACTGGGGTGGCATGGTTACTATTCTAGACATCATGTCAGCTACCTTACCTTGGCCTAACCCATGCTCAGGAATTGTTGTGCCACCATCGGCTCTTGGATTCAGTGGGGCCCCAGGCCGGCCGCGTGTGGACTTGGGCACGGAAAGGACAAGTTGGACTGATGGGTCAGAGTCTTGCGAGGTGTGTATACTCCGAAGTGCGATGTGCAAAGCATGTGCGGATGCCGCAGGTGGCCGCACTGGTGCGGGGTGTTCAGGCACTGGTCGCTGCAGGGGTACAGCAGCCGCTTCACAGCCGCTTGTCTGAACTGCATCAGCCGTGAAAGGCAAGCAGTTTTTTCCTCCTCCAGCTCTGCTCATCCATGGAAGTGCGTCTAATTCATATTCCATGTTCATGTCCACTTGGTTTGATTCTCCATGATGATGGGGCTAAAGTATCCCCTAAACATCCCTAAAATAAGGTATCCCCTACACAATCCTATAGTATCAGTATCCCTTTTATACCGCTAATATACCCTATCACCCCGTGGGACTGTAGTTGTAGTATCCCCCAGCTAGCCAGCAGCCCTTTAGCATCAGTATCCCTTATCTATTTCTAGAATATACCATATCACCCCTTGGGGCTGTAGCCTAAGGCCCTGTACCGTAGACCCTAAGGCCCTAAACCTTGAAACCTGAACCCCAAACCCTAAGGCCCTAACCCTAAACCTTAGACCCAGGGGCGATTTCTGCAGCTGAGCTTGGCATGATCCTCTGCGGTATGAACGACTTGAATATTCGTGAGTGGAAGGACTGCCGCATGGGGGGTTGATCTGAAGGTCCTTTTGGGGGGAATTATGGAGAACAATGTCGGGGAAACTTGTGCATAATGGTCATGGGGAAAGAGGAATTTTGATCAACTACCATCTTGGGAGTTCAGGTAGGACAGAGAGTAGCGACTGTCGAGTTGCTTGTTTGTTAGCATTGCAAGGCTGAAGACTCAATGATATGGGCAGTGTCGGATAGCGCTAAGGGATGCGCTGTGTACTTCAAGCGGTGCTTGGACGACTTTGCTTGCACTTGACCATTGTAGCTCTGGTCAGCCTTGAAATGAGGCGTGCAACTGAATAAGGGTTGAGGTCAGCCAAGAATTTTCTCAAACAGGAGGGACTCCTTTTAAGGGCCCTTCCGATCGAGCACCATAACCATACCCTTCGTTGCTGCCGCCCCTTCCTGGTCCAAGGCGTTTGAGACATTCAGGGCCCCATTCTATGGCCCCACCGCTGAGGGTCCATGTCGGGGGAAGGCAGGGACCGCATCAAGGAGATCGTGAAAAGCGCCAGCCTCCCCGAACTGGTGGCACAAGAGGGTACCTACAGGATGAAGCTGCTGGGCAAAGTGGAGTCCATGTCGAAGATGCAGCAGTCCTTCAACTCGGAGCAACGGAGTTTTTTGAGCCGGGTGAAGAAGCATGAGGGCAGCCGCAGGGCTAATTCCATGCCCTCTGCCACTCTGACCTTTCAACCTCACAGTACTTACGCGCAGCACACGCAGCTGGGCGCATGCTTCGAGGAAGTCCAGCACCTTGAGGCCACCCTGGCAGCCCTACAGAAAAGGAAGGATGCGATCCGAAACCAGGAGTGGCAAGCAGTCTCGGTGAAGCCCATTCGAGCTTCGGGCTGCGCCCGCTCTCAGTCGATCACCAACATGCAGGCATGGTTCAAGGCTTATGGGGAGCCCTCCGGACTCAGCCGATGGAAGGATTGGCGCTCCAACAGTCCCTTCGTGCAGAGCCTGAAAGCACGGAGGCTTGAGCTTTGAGCTTTTCAGGCATGGCTGCCTCAGCAAGACTGCGTGACTTGGCTTCTTTCTTAAGGAAAGCAGCCCTAGCAAATGCACACTCAAAGGCCTCTGCTTTGGGTCAAACAGCTGCACAGCTGCAGGCTGTCGTGACTCTTTTTCGACCTTCAGCTGGCTTGGACTCGATTTCAGGTGCGCTCCTCCCAGAAATTGCAAGCTAAATGAGACATTGGCAAATCTGTTGTGCGAGTTGCTCCTATGGAGTCCGGTGTTTATTAGCAGCGTGTCGTCCGACGACGCATGACTGACGCGCATCTGCAAGAGGAAAAAGGTTGCCGGGCGTGTCCGCACGAAGTCAAGGGGATCCTTGACATCTGCTTCAAACGGCTGCATAGAAGAGGTGCTTCGTTCATAGCTGACAGACCGTGTCGCCTTCAAACCGGCCACCGCGCGGCGATCAGAAGAAGTGATGTTGGATATCAGAGTCACGCGGCCATGGGGTGAGTAGGGTAAGTTGCTGGTAACAATTCTTTTTATTGCCAGTTGCTGGTGTCATTGCGTTACCATTTCTAGCATTGCGAGTATGACCAGATGACCAGATCCCTGGAAGGAGGCCAGTACGAAGGCAGAGGGCCTTCCCCAGGAAGCCTGGGACATGTTCTGGAGAGCTTTGGAGGCTTGGGAGTTGAATCCCAAGTTGTCAGAAGACTGATGGGTTGCTTTGGGCTTAAGACTGTTGTGGGGAGAAAAGTCCAGTGCAGGCGATGACCCAGGAGCAGCAGAATGCAGTGCTTGAGTTCTCCAGTGGCAGCACATGCCTCCCCGAAGGCGTGGAGATTGGAGTGAATCCCGCATTGGGGGGATAGTAAGGTACCCCCATAATGGAGACTCAAATGGAAAAGAAGATGGAACATGAACTGGAAACTGGGATTATGTAGGGNNGGGGGGGGGTCCGCATAATAAGGATTATAGCATATTAGGCTCTATGTTGGGGTCCCCCCTATTTTGGGAAATTGCCACATTTTCTTTTTGGACCCTACATGTCCCTCTAAAAGCATGTTCTTTGTGATGTGGTTCTCCTTTGTTGAGGTGGGAAAAAAGCCCCAAGTTGAATGAGTCCTTTTGTTTGGGTCAGACGGTTATCTTTTCTGGGGTGTGCCTTGAAACTCGCATGTGGCCTTTCAACAAAGTATGTAGATCTCTGAGCCTCGTGCACTTGCTGAAGTCGGTAGAATTAATCTTCCCGGCGTCCGCTATGCCAGCATCTCCCAGAAGCTAGTGCAAAGTGAGGGGAAAGGGTCAACCCTCGAAAATGTGTTGATGTTGGCTTGAGGGTAGTCAATGAGAATCCACCGCAACTAGACCTGCAGTAGCAATCATGCTGCAATCTTCCGTCATGTAATTTTCAAAGGATGAAGGTCCGAGTCCTTGTGATCACCGGGGCAGGCATTACCTTCAACACATTGCCAACAAAGGCTCGAGAGAGTAGCCACCGCAGCTTAGTTTGGGGGATGCTAGTGTACCTGCGGAGACAACAAGTGCATTGAGAACTTGCCTCTTTTGAAGACGCGTAGCCCAGATTCAAAGGGCCTTGGATCCAAGCAATCTTTACCGCTACTTGTCCCAAATCCTTCCCTGTTTGAAGACAAGCCAACCCCTCGCCTTGTATATCCTCTAAGTGACTGGGCCGGCTGCAAAAGAATCAGGTAGAAGATAAGGATCAAGCTATTCTCCAGCATTAGAGGGCCCCTTTTTGGGAGGCCTCATACGAAGGACTACAGTTATAGTACATGCGATTACCACTTTACAGGCCCCCCCCGCTTTCTGAAAATCCTCATAGAAACCTTGCTCAGGGGGAGTTGCAGCTCTAAAGACCACCCTGGCGCCGACAAGAGGGGAGGAGCCAGCTGCAGCAGCTCAGTATGAACAGTTCAGGGGTTGCCCAGAAGCGTGGCCTCGTTAGTGGGATGTCCCTTTGCACAGCGCCCAAAATTTGGGTGTATGGCAGGGACCCCCAATCTAAACCCTAAACCATGTCGTTTTTCTGATGTTCAGCTTCGTGGCCGTTGCCTCCAGCAACGTAATTCATGGTCATCACCGCCCACTGGAATAAGTGGGGTTGCTGCATGGTCGGCATTTCGGCTGCTGTCTCTACTCTCATCAATGGTTATGAAGAGTTCCAGGTACTTCACCCAGTTGTAGATGATAGAATCTTAGTCTTATAGTATATATTGTAGTATATTATGGTATAGTATATAAGATCATAGCATGTAGTATATTTGGGTATATCACAGTATACCAGATGGTATGATGGTTGAGGGTTCTGGTTTAATTCCAGTTGGGGAGCAATATCTCAATCTCTAGGGCAGTCGAGGCATGGCCTAAACAAATTTTGGAACCAAGGTTCATAAGATCCATACTATTATTCTTTATCATAATATTCTCCTTATGATTGTTACTATGAATCGTTATTAGTATTGCTATTATTCATACTCAGAATAGTACCCATCGCAATGCGGGCTGAGGTCCCCTGCTTTTCGCTGCTTTACCTTCCCAGCTACAGCTCTGCAGCAGAGATGAGGGAGGCGCTTGTTTTGGCCGCCTATGGCCATCCAACGGCTAGGCGCCACTAGCAGGTTTTGAATCGTCAAATGCTTAGATGTGTAATTGGCCACACGGGTCAGCAGAAAACTGCATGTGACGAAGAGAGGTTTGCTCCTAAACTCTAAGCCCTAAACCCTAAGCCCTTTGCCCAGCAGCACGCAAACGGTTGAACCGCAAGACCGTCTTCAAGTCATTCAGGCATGCACATGTGCGTGCCAAGGCCTGAGTCCCTAAATCCAAGCTCTACATCCACAAGGGTTTAGGGCTTAGGGTTTAGGGTTTAGGGCTTAGGGTTTAGGGTTTAGGGCCAACTGTTTGCCAACCAACTTCCGAAACGTAGCAGGTTGTAACATACTTTTCTACATCCTGATGTACTAGTCTACATTATTGCATGCTATACTATAATTTTTTAGGGCATGCAGGAATGGATCCCTGTAGTGGCACATACAAGTCCTAACAAGATAGAAGAGTCCATTTTTCCAGTTCTTCATTGCCTACCAACAACCAGCCAGTGTTCTATCCCTAGAAAACCATATAATCTCACTTTCGATGTTCTTTTGCATCTCCATTATTCTATCCATCTATGCCCACCTAAACCTTACACCTCCATATACCCACACGGGCCCGCACATACCCCCTTTATACACTCATACTTTGGGAGGACCCCCCCACCCTGTAATAGTGGCTATAAGGGGTAATAAGGATTATATTAGGATCCTTTTATATTCCTATTATAGGGTGCGGGAGTCCTTCTAAGTCATACTCCTCCTTGTACCCTAAACCGCTTAACCCTAACCCCTAAACCCACTCATACTCCTGAATCACAGCATGCTCCGACCAACCCTCTTCGTCTTGCATTCGTGGCCGAGCCAGTCTAGGAGCTGCTGCCAAAGTGGGGACTTTTCCAAGATCCATCCATTTCCCCTATATGAGCTATAGTCTAAACTCCTTAGTGGGGGTTATATAGGGGATGATATAGGGAGTACTATAGGGGTTATTAAGGGGGATACTAGGAGTTTAGACTACAGCTCATATGGGTTTAGGTTTAGGGCCTATATGGGGGGGAAATTGCTATTTAGGGTTTATATTGGGGTTATATTGGGATAGTGGAAAAGAAAATGGATACTACTATAATGGTGGTATATAGGGTAATGGAAAAGAAAGTGGAAATTGCTTGAGGATGGTTCAAGGCTTAGGATTCAGAATAGCCACCCGACCAATCTAACAATAGATCCCCCAATATAGTGCCACTATATGACGGATGTGTACTTGTTGTCAGAGGGGCCAGGAGTTTCAGTATCAGATGGGGTATGATGGGGTGATATCTGCCGTGTCTAGGGTGGGACCCTTAGGTTAGACATTGGGGTTTGGGAGACCATGCTCAACACATATACACATACATATATACATATACATGTTGCTATGTACTGGTATCCATGTACATGAATCTTCCGGCAACAATGCGACCTTTCTGTGATTCTGAGGTGGCTCCTGAAAGGACACCTTCCAGGAAGATTTGGGGTATTGGGCTGTTTCTTCTTTTGGAATCGCTACACGTGACTTCACACGTTTAATGAACTACTTGCATCGCACTGTATGTCTTGCCTGCGCATCCTTTAAACTCACAAAAAGCTCCACCCATCATAGAACTGATTCCAGCACGGTACCGGTGGGCTTTATAGCAGGGATGAAACGCTTTCATGAGATCAGTGTGGCAGCCGCTCGCGAGAGAGAGATCCGGCGCTCAGACGCTGTGAACTGAGTTGGCCTTGTGGTGAGACCACGGAAGCAAAGCAGGGGTTGAGCAGCGTAAGCCAATAACACTGTTGCACTGCTCAGGTATGTGCACATTAGTCTGGCCAATGGAAAGCTTAAGCGGTTCTTAAGCCTAGGAAGCGCAGCTGCTCGGCTTCCTCTTAGCACAGGGGCAACTCATGGTGCCAATGACCTTTAGACTTAGATGAGATGGCGGGTGGACCGCACTCGCCGAGCAGGACGCAAATGGATGGACCCTGTCGGGAAGTGTTTGAAGCTAGCCAAAAAAGCAGAATGCCAAGACGCACTACTCATGCTCAGCCAATTAGATGCTGCACGCGCGAGATTCCGCATATTTCCAACAACCACTAAGGAAGGCCACAAGGAACACCGATGGCCAGGTAAAACAGGATAAGAATCTCGACGTCCCACTCTCCTTAGGCGGGGAAAGCCCAAGTTATGGCCGAGCAAGATCATTTTGTGCGTTACAACAACGCAGCACTATGGATAACACAACTGTCAGGTAATATGCTCTAAACCTAGAGTTCCCCGGGTTGATTTGCATTTCCTGAACTTGCAGGTGTGACGCTCAACATGCTGACGCCTGGTGTGCCCTTGATGGACCGACTGGCAGCTGCCCTGCGAGAGCATTTGCGGCAGTTGCAGGTTCATCTTATCCATGCTTGGCTGGGAATTGGGGAATGGATCCCTATGGTAGTCCTTAGACAATCCTCGTAAGGAATACGCCCTCAAAAAGTCCTTTAATGACCCATTCCCGCACTCCCAACTGAGCGAGTGAGTCATTCGAATTGTCCCTGTTGCCACCTCCTGCAAGTTGCTCCAAATTCTGGAAGGTTTTTTGTGTCCCATGTACTGCGCATCAGAGTCAGCCACTCGTACTTAGGGTGATGCTAGCTTTGGCGTCCCCTAGTTAGGCAGAAATTCGCATGCAGTGTTACGGTCCATCTTGGAACAGCATAGGGAAATTTCCGATTGCCGGAAGGAATGTGCTCAGGTGCAAGGAGATGTGGCTGAATGCGATCCTTCCTAGAGGTACGTATTCCGAGCAAGTATGAAGACCAAGAGGAAATATGTAAAGATAGCAAGGCTGATGGTAATTACGCATTGATGTCATGCTTGCCTTGACAGGTCAACCCATAGCCGCCTACGAGTAGCAACCCTTCAGATGCGAAATATCCAGTGTGGATTTCAGGTTCAAATGGAAACTACTATAGTATAATGGGGTATATATTGGGGTTAATATCCCCATTGTAACCCCAATATAACCCCGTTATAACCCTGATATAACCCCATAACCCATATATAATTCCAGTTTCCATTTCATTTTCCATTTTCTTTTCCATTTGATTCTCCATTATTGGGGGTAATATTGGGTTTTATATAATATCCCCAAATAAAAGATCTAAACCCTAAACCCTAAATAGTAGTTTCCATTTTCTTTTCCAGTATCCCCATATGGGGTAATATTGAACCATCCAGCTTGATCTTCAATTCCACCTACTAGTAGGATGGTGGCGTTCTCCAAGCTCCCTACGCCCAAAGCTCCAGAAAGGGTGGGTACGTGAGTACCCCAGCAAATAGGTTCGCCCTATAGTATGATCCCGCAGCTCAGACTTGAATCATGACCTGCTTCGAAGTGCAGGCAGATGCGCGATTGCATAAAGATCTTCAGATACTGGTGGCTTTGGCTTTTTGGAATGTGGAGATTGCGGTGTTTGGGGGTTCAGGATGTTTAGGGTTCAGGGGTTTAGGGCCACACCACCGGAGATGCAACAATCATGCTGCACGGCACAGCCTTTTTACGTGCATGATCGTGCCCAAAGAACTTGGTTGGAGCAATGCTTTTTGCAGTTTGAGGAAGGTTGGGGATATGTAGAAATAAATACCTTGGTAATGAAGAATCAAATGGAAGATGACATGGAGATTATTTGGGGGTGCATTGCTTCGGTTCTCTGCTGCGAAAATTCCAAGCAGTGGGGCTTATCCTGCTGATTCAAGGTCTATCTCTTCAAACGCATGTGCAGTAGTCGTCCGACCTAGTTGGAGGATGAAACATCATCAGGCACCGTTCGCATACGTGTATTTAACCGATCGCATCCCTGACCCCGCAATGCACTAAGCACGTGTGCGTGACTCTGCGGCATCCTTCCTCGCGAGCTTCACACGCGCATCCGGGCTTCAGCGCTTGCGCGTAGTTCATGCCATGTCTGCTTACCCATGCCACATCTTTTACTCATTCTCTTCCAGTTCTGGCTCAAGGAACACATGACTAGAACAGCTCGCAAAAACAACAAACTCTGGATCCATGGGGTAGCTATGTGAAATGCCAAACATACACGTGCTTGTGTATATGTGCATCTCTATATATATATATGTATATATATATATCTCTCTCTCTCTCTCTCTCCCCACACGTGTGTGCCTTCAGGTGAGCGGCCCAGATGAAGCTGGGGAAGGAGAGCACAAGATCGCTGTGCAGATGCTGAGGCATGGGAGCTTCAGCTTCGCCGTCTAGGGCTGGGGTGCAAACACAGAACTGAATTCATGCTGATAATCTTAGAAATAATGCGTGTTTCCTGTTGGCGTGGGTAGTGGCCGACAACATTCAGCGTTAAGAGTTCTATTCCTTGAAACTTTGAACTGCTCAGCGAGAGGAACGAGAAAGCAGCGCAAGCAAGAGCGGCAGATGCAGCTTGGCATGGTAGAAGAGCTGGTGCTGCAGTTGCTGCACAGAATTTCGCTTTGGATGTGTGTCATGGAGGCAGCCTCTCACTGAATACTTCGGGACATGATTTGTGAGAGAAGGGGCGGCTTAACGCATTCATTCGCCAAGACGGGTGCGTTTGCTACCAATCGATGTTTCAAGCCTGTGCCAGCACGGAGTATGAAGGCTTTCTTTGCTAGGGAGACCCATGGCTCTTCGGTTGATAGCTTGCACAAAGAGTGTTTAGCTTGTTCACCCCACACACCTACAACATGAGGAGCATAGCCAGCAACTTGCTACCCATATCCTACGATTTTATGGTAGTTTCCCTACATAGGGGGGGATTCCAATATAGTCCCCACATCCCTATTGTTGGGAAACCCTCAAAGGTAAACCCTCATTTTGGAAAACCTCAATCCCTACATGAACTCAGTTTCCATTTAATTGTCCATTTTCTTTTACATTTCATCTTCCATCATTAGGGGTGATATATCTCAAAACCCTATATACCCTTTCATAACCCATATATAGCCCCTACACCCCCCTTTA